GAAAGAGTGAATGGTGCCTCATGGTGGATGCCCGCAACCTCAGTGCCATGGCCCAGCAGCCAGCCACACAGCTCAAAGCGTAAGCCAACAGGGAGATGAGCCAGTTAGCAATCCATAGCAAAAGAAGAAAGACACCTGGGCAGCGGGGGTGGTCACCCAGACTCCTGCTTGCTAACCCAAGTGGGTTCAGATAGTGAAACCAATGATGCAACACATGTACCAAGAGAGAATGAAAGATTTATTACCCACATACAGAGTCTTTGTGGGAAGAGGCAAGGTAGGCCACCCAAGCTGATCTGAAAATGGCTTGAGCTAAGAGAGGGTGTAGCCCAACGTTTTATTCTGGTGGGGCAAGGTGAGGACTCCCTTGCTGGGGAGGGGTGTGTCTGGCTTGAACTTCTCACCGTGGTCGAGGGAGGGAGATCATGTGCTTTCCCATCACCTTGCCCAGGTGTGCCAAGAGGGGAAGTTGGGCTTGAAGCCATCAACAGTCAAACATGAAAACTGGAGTCAAACTCTTTATTACAGAATGTGATTGTGGGGTTGTATGCCCTTTCTCTACCATTTCTTTATCATATCATGTGTGCTGGAAACTTTCACTCCAGAGTATGGCAAGGGTGGTGGAGTGAGGAGTGGCAATGGTGCTCAAGGCTCTGGACCCAACCGGGGTCTCAGCCAGGAGGAGTGGGCCGGTCTGGGCTATCCGGGAACTGGCATCTGTACTCTAGACCAGGGTAGGCCACGTGTCCAGTCAGAGGCAAGAATGGCCATAGAGTGTCAGCCCCAAGAACAGAGAAAGGCAGACTGACAAGTTCAGGATGGGAAGGCCAGAAAGATTCCCTGACATTCAGGGTCGGGGAGTCCTCCTTATGAGGCCCTGGGGCCTAGTAAGTGGAGGGGGTGAGCAGGAAGCCCCCCGCAACCAGTTAAGAGAGGTGAACAGGGTCCCAGATCAAGAAGATTTTTCGCTCTGGCTGAGTGGCTAGTTTTGCGAATGGACAAAATATGTCCATCCCTTATGCCCTTGCCCAGGTCCTCATTATTTGTATTATGGACGGTTGAGGGTAGTGGCAGGGTTTCTTTCCTTGGGTGTAACTGATTCCCAGGCCCTTGGAGGCTTTGCTCCAGCTCGTGATGGTCTATTTCCTGACCACCTTCCATCCATCTGGTGGGGACAGTATCACAGTCGGGCAAAGGCAGAAGGACCCCTCTTCCTGACTCCCACCTTTAGTGCAGAGAAAATGTTCCCTTGGGCACATGGGGCTCAACATTGTTTGTCTTGTGGGGCTGGGAGCGGAACCGGGGTTCCTGCCTGTGAATATTTATCCAGCCGTAAAGACTGTGTTCCTCACATAAATCACTTGTAGAATTTACTACATTTTAAGGCCATGAGAAAGACCCCTATGGTTCCTCAGGCCCCCAAAACAACACATTTACACAGCAACTCTGTCTTCGTATATCTTTCTTTCTGTGTATCAGCATAACATCAGAGACTGTTCTCTGAGCTGCCAACACGTTTGCCTGGCACAGCGCACAGCGGATGAGGACAGCTCTGACCCAGGCACGGGCAGCCTTGGGGCCAACCTAACACAGGTACTAATTTACTTTGACTGCAGAGAAAAAGCATTTCCTTTCCAAGGCTTGTCAGATGAGACAGTTGCCCAAAGTTGTGTTTTCTCCAATTTCATGTACTTACAAACCCTCCCCGGGATCCTGTTAAAAGACAAATTTCGATTCAGTAGGTCTGCGATTCTAACCAGCTCCCAGATAACGCTGATGCCGCTGGTCCTTAGACCTCACTTGGTGTAGTAAAGACTTAAATGACCTTCCAGCCCCTTCCAGCTCTGACAATCTGTGGTTCACGCGGCGATGTGGCAGTTCTTGCCGCCTGCTCTTCCGTGATTGCAAGGCCGGGCTTGTCCTCGGTCTGCGGGCGTTCCCAGTGCGTGACCAGCTGGGTCAGCCCAAAGCGTCTAGTGGGACACGAGCGCTGTGTTCCAGACTCCCGCAGTGTCAGTGTCCGCGGTTCCTTCGGACCCCAACGGTGCCACATTATCTCCCTTTCTAGCAGGAAAACTCCAGGGAATGTGAGGTATGCTGTAGAGGGGGGCCGCTGCTCTGCTGTGACACTTGTCCAAGGGCCTTTCATGAGGACTGTCACATCCCACCTGCGGAGGCCGAGAGGTTAGTGAGACACAGCCCGCCTCGTGCGCCTACACTTCGCCCAGGCTCTGCCTCTGGTCGCTCCTCTCCACGTGGAAGAGCATCCTGGGCTCGGGTGGCCCAGCGCAGCCCAGCGGGGCCGCAGCCTGTGTTCCCTCTGGTATCAGTGTCTGAGTATGTGGCTGAGCCACCCTGACTGCCACTGCCTCCGGGAGATGGCCTTTCCTAGTTTCGTAACCCAGACTCCTGTCCAAGGAGGGTAAGGGACGAAAAACACCAGTTGTCTGTGTTCTGTGAGTATTCAGAAAAGGCAGGAAACGTGGCCTGCTTCTCCCATTTCCCCAGGGTCTCGACAGGCTGATGGAGCCTGGGTCCCCCAGGGGCTTAAGACCCAGTTTCCAATACTTGGGGCTGGTGGGCAGGGCTCCCTGTTCGCCCAGCAGCTCTGAGGGGGGAAGGAGAGCCCACCACTCACCCTGACACCACACTGACCCCTTTGTCGCTGCCTTGATGGGAGACCCCCCCTTGGGAGGTGTCCCCTTCATCCCCGGCCGCACCCATCAGCCATTCCTGAAAGGAAAACGGTGACTGTTTCCAGGGACCTTGCCCTCGCTCACTTATGTCCGGCCCCTCAGGAGCCCGTGGAGTTGCACCTTCTGCAGGATGAAGGAGTCTTCTGGCAGCCAGCAGTGTCTCGGGGAATCTGGGGTCCTGGCAAGGCAGATGCAGCCCGAGGAGCAGTTGGTGAGTCGGATGGGAACCCCAAGCCTACCCCTTTCCCCTCAAAGAGGCAAAGGGTCCAGGAAAGGGCACCCAAAGGAAGCCTTCAGTGTCTCACTTCAGAGGATGGAGCTTCAGTGCCCAAACATGGAGGACAAACAGAATTCAACCCCCACCCCACCCCCCTCATGGTGCACTGGCAAACGGGGTCGGAAGTCCGCTGTGCTTGGCTGCCCCTGTTTGTGGTACCTGGGCAAAGGCTTGGCTTCACTTTCTCCAAATAACATTTCCCTTTAAATCCCGCTTCGCACTTTACAGAAATGTGAGTTTCTCCTCTTGAAAGCCTACTGTCATCCACAAAGCTCTTTCTTTACGGAGACCCCATGTAATGTAAGTCCTATTAGATGTTTCTCATCCTCTGGGTATCTCTCTGCTGTTAAACTCATTCTGGAAACGTGGAGTGTGCGTCCTGCAGGTTCCTCTGTTTGCAGAGAACAGAAGGTTTAGCTGCAGACTCTGGAGTGGTGCTGCCAGAGTTGAATGGGGTTCAAACTCCACCCCATTGCATACCAGCTCTGGGACACAGACGAGTTGCTTCTCCTGCCCTGTATCTCAGTTTCTTCCTCTCTTCTGTGGGAATGTCTTTCTTAGAGAGAGCATAGTGTTGAGAGTACAGACTCAGGAGACTTGAACTGTGGGTTCAATGCAGCTCTACCAGTTTTTAGCTGTGAAATCTTGGGTGGGTTACTTAACTTCTCCATCCCTTGGTTTCTCATCAATAAAACAGGGGTAATTATAGTACCAATTTCTTAGGGTTGTTGTGGAGATCCTATGTTAATATAGTGGCAAAGCTTAGAACAATGCCTGGCACATAGATGTCGGATGTTATTATCAGTATTACCCTGGAAATAAAGGCTTGTGTTGTTGGATCCATTTCAGCGGTGATGGCTATGCTAACATCACCTCTTTGATGGCTTTGCCCCTAGATTCGAGATTATGGTGAGCCCTTTAGGGAAGCCATGTGGTTGGACCTGGTTAAGGAAAGGCTGGCTGAGAAAGTGTACACAGTGGCCTGGTTTCTACGGGACATGCGCCTGATATTTCGCAACCATAAAACATTTTACAAGGTAAAGGGCATTTCCTGCCTCCGTTTCACATGCTTTCTACTTTCCCCTCATTTCTGGTGCAGCAGAGCTTTGCAAGAATCTTACCCAGTCTTGTCCCCGGGAGAGCTCAAAAAGACAAGGATTGTAGAAGGAAACTGCCTCCAAATCCCAGAGGTGGAGAGGAGGATGTCAAAAAGAACAGCAAGCAGGACAGAGAAGGATCCTTGTAAACGGTGCCTGAAAAAACAAATCCATCCTCAGTTTCAGAAAGATACGCTACTCCCACCGAGGAGTCAAATTCATCCTGCCTCCCTGTTCAAACTAGGGGGAAGGCAGGTTATGCTTACATGGTCCTTTGTGCTTCAGAAACACAGAAATAAATGAATTAATTCATTTAAATCAAATAAATTAAACATTCAGGATGCTCATGCTTGGATTTTTGCTCTTGAATTTCCCAGTGGACTCAAACATCTGGATTTGCCTTCATCTGGTGTTGCCTCCATCCTTCGTTAGTAGGGAGAGTCAACAAGCTGAGCTACCTTGCAATCCAAGGCATTCTTAACTTTAGTCTGAGTTTCCCTGATTTTTACTCTCACTTATACAGGTATTTCTCGGGACATATCTAGGGTAGATTCTCATCTCCACCCAGCCTCCTTCCTCTCCTGCGTGCCACAAGTTGGCATGTTCATGAGCCACAGACTGTAAACTGGTGTCCATCCACGGAGCTGGAGGTGAAAGAGTCAACCCAGGGAGCCCCTGGATGCCTGGCACAGTCGTAGCCTTGGAGAACAGAAGGGTTAACCTTTCTTCAAAGAGTGGGCTTTCAAGAAAAGCTTTATCTTTCTCTGTTTTGCACCAAACTCAGGCTTTGCAGGGGTCAAAATCGGCTCTTCGGTCAAGATCGCCTGTCAGGTCTAAGTCAACAACCAGGCAGAGTCTCATGCATTTGAACATTTGAGCGGCAGGCAGCGTCTTCCCACCTATTCTGCCTGACGGCGGGGGAAACACAGCGTTTGGGAAAGGGAGGACAGGGCTCCTAAAAAAGCACGAGTGATTTGCTGGCCCTAATCCTTCATCCTTAGACCTCTGTGTGTTTGCTTTTTTCTCTTTCAGGCCTCCGACTTTGGTCAGGTAGGACTGGATTTAGAGGCAGAATTTGAAAAGGACCTCAAAGAAGTGCTTATTTTTCATGAAGCCAGTGAGAACAGCTTCCAGGTTCCTCCTTGATCCTGTTCTGGACGAACTAAGGCATCCCAGCTTCAGGTTCCAGATGATGTGGCCCTGTGCTCCTTAGATTGCCAACGAGTCTGGAATGTTATTGGCTGCCTCTTTACTCAAATCCAGACCCTTCAGAGCATTGTCACACCCTCCACCACCTTTTATTGTTTCTTTTTATATTTTGCACCTCAAAAAAAATTAAATATTTGCTTACTACTATTAAATACCCCATCACAGTTCATATTCTCCCCATTGTCTCATAAATCTTTTTACAATTGTTTGAATTGGGATCCAAACAGCTTCCACACACTGAATTTGGCTAATCTATCTCTTAAGGCTCTTTTAATCTGTAAATTCCCCACTGCCTTTTTTCCTTGCTGTTTACTCTTTGGATAACCTGGGGTCTTTGTCCTATAACATTTTTCATATTCTGGATTTTTCTCCACCCCCTTAGTGGCATGTTTCTTTCTCCCTGGCATTTTTTGTAAAGTAGAAGTTAGATCTAGAGGCTTTTGCTTAGATTCAGGTTTGGGTGGGCGGGGAGTGGAGGGGTATTTCGATTTGGCTTTTTAGTAAAGAGACTTTGCAGGGGGAGCTGTGCATTCGTTTGTAATGTTAAGATCATCCAGCAGGTTCAGGTGTTACCAGCCTGACCCATCTGTTATACATCACCCTTTCCCCTAATGATTTTAGCAGCCACTGATGCTCATTGCCTAAACACATTTCACTAGGGTTTGCAAAATGATGATTTTTTTTGGCCGCGTTGGGTCTTCGTTGCTGTGCGCGGGTTTTCTCTAGTTGCTGCAAGCAGGGGTTACTCATCGTTGCGGTGTGCAGGCTTCTCATTGCGGTGGCTTCTCTTGTTGCGGAGTATGGAATCTAGGTGTGCGGGCTCAGTAGTTGCGACACGCAGCCACTAGAGTGTGTGGGTTTCAGTAGTTGCGGCTCATGGGCTCAGTAGCTGTGGCTCATAGGCTCTAGGGCGCAGGCTCAGTAGTTGTGGCACATGGACTTAGCTGTTCCGCGGCATGTGGGATCTTCCTGGACCAGGGATCGAACCCATGTCCCCTGCATTGGCAGGTGGATTCTTAACCATTGTGCCACCAGGGAAGTCCCCAAAATGATGATATTTAGATTCTGTTATTCATTCTATATTTATTAGTCAGAATTCTTCTGCAAAGAGCTTCCCTTCAATAATATTTGGTTAGCTTGAAATACAGTTTGTATAGGAAATGCAAGATAAATGATGGATCTTTATTTAAAGTGTTCAGATTAATGAATTGTTTTCCTAATAGCCTCTAAAGATAGGCAAGGAGGTTTTTTCCTTTAACGTATCTTGAGCTCATGGATTTAAATATATTTAATATGCTCTAGACCATTGCAGTTAACGTCTTTATTGCCGCTCAAATTGCTTATCTTCAGGGAGTGAGAATCTCTTCAAGTTGGTTCCTGAGTTGTTTTGAAGTGACCCCAGCACTCTTTGATATAGTGTATTAGCTACCTATTGCTGTGTAACAAATGACCCCAAAGTTTAGTGGCTTCAAGGAACAATCATTTTATGGCTCACTATTCTGTGGGTCAGCAGTTCAGGCAGTCCTCCATGTGGATGCCTTATCTTTGCTCCACATCTTATTGATTAAGCCCTTTCATGCTTGCACAGTATCACCTCTGCCACACCATCGGTCTAAGCAAATCACTGGGCCAAATTCGAAAGGAGGGGAAATAGGCTGTACCTCTTGATGAGATGAATGTCAAAGTCACATTACAAAGGGAATGTTGCTTGGGAAGAAATGTTGCCACCGTCTTCAGAAACACCCTACCATAGCCCACCCTCTGACCACAGCCATTCACATCCTTCCCACATGCAAAGGACACTCACTGCCCGCCCCCACCCCAAGAAGTCTCACTCATTGCAGCACTGGATCAAAGTCCAGGACCTCAGCATCTAAATCAGGTTCAGATGAGATGTTTCCTTAGATGTGGTTCATTAGATGTGTCCCCTCAGGTGCACCTCCTCTGGAACCAAAGACCTGTGAACTGAAGGACAAGTTAGTCTCCCCCACTTCCCAAATATAATGATGATACAGAATAACCACTGCAGACACTTGCATTCAAACAGTGGGAAATGGGTAGCACATAGCAGCCACTGGTCCACAGCAATTCAGAAGTCAAGTGAGGTGCATGTTGCCAGGTCCCCCAATCCCAGGACAGAGAACATTCCTTGATAATCCCATGAGTTATAAATATTATATCCCTCTAATTCCCATCCAACACCACAGGCTTCTTCCATATTTTCCTCCAGGCAATATCTGTGCCTCTCTTCTCCAGTAGTATGTTTACTCATTTGCTCAAATCTAAATTACAACAATAATAGTTTCAGAATTTCTATACTCATACCACTATGAAAACAAAACTAAGCTGAATTCTAAATTGGAGAGGAATTTATTTTTGTTTCTGTTATATATTCAATATACCATTTCAGAGAGTATTTTTTCAGGATTTTACATTTGTATTTATAAATGAAATAGTTCTGTAAGTTTTCATATATTGCCATAGTCAGATTTAGAGTTAGCCTAGCTTGGTAAAATAACTCGTGAAACTTTATACCTTTTTATATGTTCTGAAATAGTTTACAGCATTTTAAATTAACCAACTCTTAAAATGATATAGCCTAGAGTACTTTGGGGAGATGTTGACCCATTCTCTGTCTTCCCATGGTGATTAGACTATTCAGATATTCTACTGCTCTTTTTTTAAAAATAGACCTTTATTGGAGTATAATTGCTTCACAATACTGTGTTAGTTTCTGTTGTACACCAAAGTGAATCAGCCATATGCATACATATGTCCCCATATCCCCTCCGTCTTACTTCTCCCGCCCACCCTCCCTATCCCAACCCCTCTAGGTCATCGCAAAGCACCAAGCTGATCTCCCTGTGCTATGCTGCTGCTTCCCACTAGCTAACTATTTTACATTCGGTAGTGTATATATGTTGATGCTACTCTCACTTTGCCCCAGCTTCCCCCTCCCACCCCATGCCCCTCAAGTCCATTCTCTATGTCTATATCTTTATTCCTGCCCTGTAACTAGGTTCATCAGTACCATTTTTTTTTTTTTTAGATTCCATATATATGTGTTAGCATATGGTATTTGTTTTTCTCTTTCTGACATACTTCACTCTGTATGACAGACTCTAGGTCCATCCACCTCACTACAAATAACTCAATTACATTTCCTTTTATGGATGAGTAATATTCCATTGTATATATGTACCACATCTTCTTTATCCATTCATCTGTCGATGGACATTTAGGTTGGTTCCATGTCCTGGTTATTGTAAATACCGCTGCAATGAACATTGTGACACATGTCTCCTTTCGAATTATGGTTTTCTAAAGGTATATGCCCAGCAGTGGGATTGCTGGGTCATATGGTAGTTCTATTTTCAGTTTTTTAAGGAATCTCCATACTGTTTTCCATAGTGGTTGTATCAATTTACATTCCCACCAACAGTGCAGGAGGGCTCCCTTTTCACCACACCCTCTCTAGCATTTATTGTTTGTAGATTTTTTGATTATGGCCATTCTGACCAGTATGAGGTGATACGTCATTGCAGTTTTGATTTGCATTTCTCTAATAATTAGTGATGTTGAGCATCTTTTCATGTGCCTCTTGGCCATCTGTATGTCTTCCTTGGTGAAATGTCTATTTAGGTCTTCTGCCCATTTTTTAATTGGATTTTTTGATTTTTTGATATTGAGCTCCATGAGCTGTTAGTATACTTTGGAGATTAATCCTTTGTCTGTTGTTTCATTTGCAAGTATTTTCTCCCATTCTGAGGGTTGTCTTTTTGTCTTGTTTATGGTTTCCTTTGCTGTGCAAAAGCTTTTAAGTTTCATTAGGTCCCATTTGTTTATTTTTGTTTTTATTTCCATTGCTCTAGGAGGTGGGTCAAAAAAGATCTTGCTGTGGTTTATGTCAAAGAGTGTTAGCAAGCATCATACTCAATGGTGAAAAACTGAAAGCATTTCCACTAAGATCAGGAACAAGACAAGGATGTCCACTCTCACCACTCTTATTCAACATAGTTTTGGAAGTCCTAGCCATGGCAATCAGAGAAGAAAAAGAAATGAAAGGCATACAAATTGGAAAAGAAGAAGTAAAACTGTCACTCTTTGCAGATGACATGATACAATACATAGAAAATCCTAAAGATGCCACCAGAAAACTACTAGAGCTAATCAATGAATTTGGTAAGGTTTCAGGATACAAAATTAATTCACAGAAATCTCTGGCATTTCTATACACCAGCAACAAAAATTCAGAACAGAAATTAAGGAAACAATCCATTTACCATCGCAGCAAAAAGAATAAAATACCTAAGAATAAACCTGCCTAAGGAGACTAGAAACTCGTACTCAGAAAACTATAAAACACTGATGAAAGAAATCAAAGATGACATAAACAGATGGAGAAATATACCACGTTCTTGGATTGGAAGAATCAATATTGTGAAAATGACTATACTACCCAAAGCAATCTACAGATACAATGCAATCCCTATCAAACTACCAATGGCATTCTTCACAGCATTAGAACAAAAAATTTTACAATTCATGTGGAAGCACAAAAGACTTCAAATAGCCAAAGCAATCTTGAGAAAGAAAAATGGAGTTGGAGGAATCAGGCTCCCTGACTTCAAACTATACCACAAAGCTCCAGTAATCAAGACAGTATGATACTGGCACAAAAACAGAAATATAGATTAATGGTACAGGATAGACTGCCCAGAGATAAACCCATGCACGTATGGTCACCTAATTTACGACAAAGGAGGCAAGGACATGCAATGGAGAAAAAACACCCTCTTCAATAAGTGGTGCTGGGAAAACTGGACAGCTGCATGTAAAAGAATGAAATTAGAACACTCCCTAACACCATACACAAATATAAACTCCAAATGGATTAAAGATCTAAATGTAAGACCAGACACTATAAAACTCTTAGAGGAAAGCATAGGAAAAACACTCTACTGTT